GTCAAATATCTTCACCACTTAAAAAACCTTAAAGCAACGAATAGGCAGAATAAAGATTGTACAAAACAGTTCTCACAATACAGGAACATCTGATTTATGGCACAGATTCATGATACAGTTCAGTGGAAAAGAACAGACTGTTCTATAAATGGTGCTGAGATGCTAAAAGTAATAACCATAAAGATAAAGACTGAAATTTTACATTAAATTAAGACCCTCTGTTTATCTAAAGACTCCATAAAAATAAGACAAGCCAAAAATGATGTAAAATGTTTGTAATACATTTAGCTGAGACAGAATTAGTATACAGACCATTTAATAATATCAATAAAAAGCATTAATTAAAGGCAAACAACTCAGAAGAAATAAGGGCAAAGGGATTTAATGGGTGCAGAGACACAGAGCTTAACAAACCAAAACCATCTTTAATTTCACTAAGTAATTGGTGTCTTCAAGTTCAAAGTTAACTCATATGTGAGCCACTATAAACCCACTGTGTTAGCAAAATTTAAAAAGTGATAATATTAAGTATTGATGAAGATGTAGATCTACGGGAACCCTTCTCTCTGCTGGCAGAAACAGACTTAGAGGATTATTATATATGGTACCTCCATGGATGGCATTCCTCTAAAACATGTATACACAGTGATAAAATGTGGAAGTGATGTCCTGATCCCCATGATCTGATAAAGGAAACAGCTGTAAGAGAAATAAGGGTAGGATGTAACCCTTAGGCTGTCCCAGCTCTGATTTGTCATAAAGGTTGTTTCCCTGAGGTGCGGCCTGTAACACCTTTTCTCTCACAAGGGATAAGAGGGGAGAAGAGACAGGAGGAGGGGACCTCAGTGCCACCAATAAAAAAATAGCTGGGAGCACAGTATGTCCTTTGGATTGAGGTCCCTGCCATGGGAAACTCCTAGAAGACACACAGAGAATAAGCCTTCCCCTAGAGTTGAACGTGGCTTTTGGAATTCTAACCTTCCAGACTGGAGCTGCTGCAGAAGATCAAGGACTCTATCTTTCAATATTGATTACATTTCAGCATCAAGAAGACAAAAATCGTCACCACTTGGCCAATAGACAACATCATGATAGATGGAGAAAGGACTGAAGTTGTCAATGATTTCACCTTGCATGGATCCACAATTAAAATCCTTCGTTACCAGTAGTCAGGAGACTAGGACATGTATTGCACTGGCAAGTCAGGTGGCAGGGATCTCTCCAAGGTACTGAAGAGCAATGATGTCAATCTGAAGACTAAATTGTACCTGATTCAGGCCATGGTCTTTTCAATCACTTGCTACGCATCTAAGAGCTGGAAAGTGAAAAAGGATAATAGGGAAAGAATTGGTGCCTTTGAGTTGTGGTGTTAGAGTGGAGAATTGAATGGACTGACACAAGAACAAACAGATGTCTTGGAGAAGGTGCGGCCAGAGTGCTCCTTGGAGGCAGATGGCAAAGCTTCGTCTCTCATACTTTTGGCATATTGCTGGGAGAAATGATTTCTTGGAGGGGGACATCAGGCTTGGAAAGGCCGAGGGTCAGCAGAAGAGAGGAAGACCCTCAACGAGATGGAACAACACAGTGACTGCAGGAGTGTGTGGGTGAGGACGGCACAGGACAGGGCAGGGCTCAGGTCTACTGTTTATAGGGTTGCTGGAAGTTGTACTCAACAGCACTTAACAACAACAAAAAACGACAACAAGCTGGAGCTCTTGTGTTGCCTAGAGGTTTGAAGCCACGTTGCAATCCCAAAGGCACGCAGTTCAAATCTACTGGTGCTCCACAGGACCAGGATGGGCAATCTCTTCCTGATTCACTGCCTCGGAGAACATGTTGAAGCATCAGCTATGAGTTGGTTCCAACTCGATGGCACAAAACAACAAAACTGTGAGAGAATAAATTTCTGTTTTCTTGAAGTCATTCATTTGTGGTATCTCTTTTTTTTTAAAAAAAGGTTTTTTAATTATTATTATTTTTTAAAAATTATTATTATTTTTTTAAAAAATTTTAAGTGTGTGTGTGTCTGTGTGTGTGTGTGTGTGTGTGTGTGTATCATCGAATCAGGCCCAACTGGTACAGGAGGAGACTGACCCTCCCTTCTCCAGCAGACTATCTGGTGGATTTGAACAGCACATATGGTATCTCTTTTAAAACTGTACTAGATAACTAAGATAGTTAACTAGTAACACTTGAATGTGCAGCAATTCAACTCCTAGGTGCATATCATAGAAATACTGACAAGTGTATATTAGGAAATCTACATGAATATGCTCATAACCTGGTTCCCCCTGCCCCACAATTGCAAAAAACAACCAATCAACCATAAACAGTGGCACAGATAAGCAACTGAGTTCAGTGTTGAAAACTGTACTTTACATAAGAAAATGCCATCCCAGCAGTAAAACAGAAATGCAGCACAATTCCATGTATCAACAAATTCCAAAGCTGAAGGGAGCTCTGGTGGCCTAGTGGCAAGAAGCTGCACTGCAATCCCTGAGGTACATGGTTCAAATCCACCAGATGCTCTGCTGGAGAAGGAGGGGCAATCTTCTCCTGTACCAGTCAGATCCAATTTGACAGTACACACAAAAAAATAATAAAATAAAATAAATTAAAAAAAAAATTCAATGCTGAAAGGTATTGAAGAAGATAGGGGGGAAAAAAGGAAATGATATATATTTATGTACATGTTGTTGTTGTTGTTAGGTGCCATTGAGTCAAGTACCACTCATAGTGACCCTTGAACAACAGATCTGAACCCTGTTCTATCCTGTGCCATCCTGACAATCTCTGACACACTCAAGCCCATTGCTGCAGTTACTATGTCAACCCACCCAGTTGGGGTCTTTCTCTCCTTTGCTATCCCTCCACATTTCTAAGCATGAGGTCTCTCTCTAAGGAACAGCCTCTTTTAGCAACAGGACCAAAGTGTGTGAGATGAAGCTTTATCATCTTTGCCTGCCCATTTCTATGCAACCAGTTTTCTTATACCTTCTTGATGGGTGAATTTTACTTTTGGGCAAATGCTGCCCCTGTGGTCTCACATAGCTGAATGTCCTGAAGAACATGCTCCCTGCAGTTATGACTGTGTACTTTACTAGCCTGTCTACTGTTTGATTGTTAGGTCATCACCAGGACTATTACATACTTTTACTGGAGTAACTGGTAGATTTGAATTGTATTTGGGATGACCATTCTTCTAAGTAGTACAGCACTGGTCTGTCAGTTTGCTGTACAGAGGTAACTTGGGGTTGCTGTGATGCTAAACACTGTGACAATGATGTGTCAAATGCCATGATGGTTAGCCATGGCTCACAGTGTTTGGTGGAGCTTCCAGATTAAGACAGGCTTGGAAGCAGGAGTGGCATCCACTTCCTAAACAGCATGCCTCCAGAAACTCTATGAACTTAAGAGAAACGGCGATAGTTATACAACAGGGTTCAGGTCTTTGGTTCAAATGGTCACTACGAGTTATCCTAGACTCAACGGCACTTACCAACAACAGGCAGAGCCTGATACAGTCAAGTTTAGCCTTAGAGTTTACCTAGAGGGGAACGGAGCACACGAGAAATGTGACCTCATGTGAGAAGTTATAGAAAACCATTAACATTACAAAGCATTCCTCTGTCTCACAAGTATAAACTTCGATTACTTAGTTAAGCAGAGAAGAGCTAATGGCTAGATTCTATGTGAGGATGTTGTTGTTGTTGTT